TTCATGTTGTACTCGACCATAGCTACAACCGAGAAACAATACAATATTTTTTCATAAATAGTTTGTAAGTGATGCAGTGAGCTGTATGCTTATAGGGGTGACCTTATGGATAAGTGTCGGATTTTTATTTTTATTTTCAAATTAATTGTAGTTACTTTTTTTATAAAAAATATAGTTCATTCTATGACAAAAACCATGTAAATCCAACTTTCAAATTTTGTAAAAATTTTAAAAGAAAATCAAAGTTATTCAGAATAAAAAGTGTGGAATTTTGATGAAAACGTACTAGCGCAAAAGCGAATGCACAAGTTGTCCCTTCTTATTATTTGCGTTCTTTGATGAAACTTTGTTGATTTGCTTTTAATTTGTGTACAAAGTTTTAAACTTGGATTAACAAGGTTTTTGTTATGGAATGATTTATATTATTTATAAAAAAAATGAATAAAACTAATTTGAAAATAAAAACAAAAATAAAAATCCGAAACTTATCCTTATTGGGGGACCTATACACTCATATGACTGAAAAAATTATAACCAATACTGTTCCTTGGTAATGTACCACAAATATTAACTGATAATTATTTTGTATTCTTACTAAATAACTTAAATATATACGTTTTCTATACCTGCAACTTTATTGGCTTTTTATTTGATTTTGACATACAATGTTTTAAACCATGATAAGACGTAATCATACGACCTTTTACAACAAAAAAGAGAATATGAAAACAATTCAAGTAAGTACTCGATACTTTGCCGATACTGAGTAGGAATCGATACTTTCAGTCTTTTAAGTACAAGTACTGATTAGAGTGATATCTTTGTGGTATCGATTGAACCCTACCTACAGTTTTACGCCGACTCCGAACGGCGATTGTATTTTTATGAGAAGATGTTTTTCATTGCAGAAATACACTCGGAGGTTTGCCATTGCCTGCCTAGGGACGACCGCTGTTAACAAAAAACCTTTTTTCTATATTTTTTGCGATGTTGCTTTGACCAGGCTTTGAACCCAGGTGCTGATGAGTGAAAGCGCGCACTGCTTACCACTACCCCACAGCGGCCAGCGGTGATTAGGCTATAATCATCTAATTAAAGGCAACATCAAATGTTTATATCTTAGCAGAAAAAAGTTAACATCCATAAAATCCATTTCCCGCGCGTAACTCGGAAAGAACAGGAATTTCCAGGAGACACGTTTAAAGTTTTATTTTTTTTTTACAAAATGCAGAAAAAAAAGAGATGCTTATGGTTTTTTTATGCGAAAACTACACAAGATTTTATAAGACAAAATTTTCCACAATATGAAGCATACTTTTTTTTTTTAATTTAATTTTTTGAGTTATGACAGTCTTTCAGTAAATAAGCGATATGTACCAGTATGAATTTCATATATATATTTAACATGTAGTTATTTTTATAATTTTATCCCTGTTGGCTACATATTAGCGAAAGCTCTTTAGAGATTATAATATTGGGCATGTAATCATAAAAAAGATTATCCGATTCGAAAGCAGTTGTTTGTTTATAATTGACTTATATTATAATGAATTATTCTACGTTTAGAAACTATGACAGCAATCGACTGAGATATTTTAAATTGTATAGCCTTAATTCTAGAAAGAGCGAAACACAACAATACAATGTTTTTTCGAAAAATGCCAATGGGGTTGCCAGAAAAGGTTTCATATTCATATATACATACAGGGGATGCCAAGACATTGACCAACATTTTTCATCTTGCGCACGGATTTTTTTTTCAGAACATAATGAACCAAATTTTTGCTATTAGAAATAGAAGCATTAAAAAGCGGATTTTCGGCCTACCCAAAATTTTTCTAAAAATTCAGATATAAAATTTAGAAACAAATAGTAATGAATGAAAATACAAAAACATTTTTACTCTACTCCATAAAGAAATATCGATTTTTTTTTTAAATTTTTTCGCAATTTACTCAACATTTGAACGGTGTACGAGTCAAACGGACCTCAGATTCGGTTGAAATACATGTTGGTAGGTGGGTATGGTTAACAGAACACACCCTGCTGGTTTATTATTGCACTTAAAATGTGTACGCAAGAGCAGCAAAGCATTCACAGCAGAGTCTTCTAATCTTGACCTGAAGTAATTACATACAAAACCCTGTTGACGAAAAATTTTTTTCGGCCTCAACACTTTTAGGCTGTACGGTCAAAAGTTAGTCATAAGCCACTTGAAGTTAATGACTCCTATCTCCGCCATTTCAAAATATTTGAACTTCTTTTACCAGCACGTCGAATAAATTATAAGTTTTTCGATTTGAGAAAGTTGGAGTACATTGGTTTAAAAAATTATGTAACTTTTCCTTAACACTTTCTGTTTAATTTATATTAGCGACGCTATACGTATGTACATTCATTAAATATTTTCAAAAAAGGCCCAGGCTACAATTTAAAAGTACAGTTTCAAGCTTTTTGTTAATTGTAGTCAAACCGGCATTTTACTAAAATCATAATCTTAAACAAGTTCTTACTACCAATTCAATATTTCAAAATTTTTCGCGATCTCGGGATTAATGCAAGCAAGGGATTGGCATCCCTAGAACATACATACATATGTATGTATTTATAACCCTTTCATATTTGCATACATATAAAATAATAGCCCTTTTAATTGTATGTATACTTTGATTTATTAAGAGGTAAAATTTATTTTTTTAATTTTTTATTTTTTTATTTTTGTGACTTTTTTCTAAAAGTTAATATTAAAGTTAAGGGTGTCATTTATTTATCAAATCCAAATAAAATAAAGCAAGGAATAGGTCAGTCTTAAGTCACCGAAAGCGTTCTGATATTCTCGTCTACTACATCGGCTAAAGAGTTAATGACTTTTATTGTTTTTGAACTCCCAGGTGTCATTGCAGTAAATTTATCGTCGTATCGATCAGTTTACCTGTTTAGCATCCGAATTTCGCAGTAAATTTCCACTGACTTGAAGTAAAAATTCAAAAAGATTATCAACATCTTAGCCCGAACACAATGAAAACGACGAGCTACAAACCACAGCTGTCAAATTATTTTAACACGTACTCTTATGTAGATAATTATTTTGGCGACGACCGGGCTACGCGACGGCTGTGGTTGTGGCCAGATTAGATTTATTTCTATTTTTCTGGCGACAGATAAGGTTATTCCTCTTCTTTTATGTCAAACTTATACAAATTCATGATGTCGCTGCCGAGTTCAAAGAAATCATGTCGCCATCGACAAAGCGTTTAGATAATGAAGATAACAAATTGGAAGCTGTGGTCTGTAGCTCGTCGTTTTCAATGTGTTCAGAACTTCTTTCAACCCTCTTTCGATTCCATGGCTTTGCTTTCAGGTTCATTAACTTACATTGCGCCGTACGGCTGCAATGACAACCGCTCCGAGCAATTTCATCAAGCGAAGATAGTTGCAAGATCGCATTTAGGGTGTGTGAAGGCGTGAGGCAAAGGTGCGCTTACACAATTTTTCGCTCTTTGTATGCATACTTAACCCCGTCCTTCATTTAACCATCTGAAAAGTAAATTCGTATAACATACAGGTAGGGCCAACGCAGCCCAGAAGTATAAGGTTTCTAAATATTTAGACTGCAGCGCCATCTATTGGGCCCATTTTTTGCAAAATCATTGGTTATCATCAGAAGAATAGACCTTATGAATTTCAACCATTACCTTCAGCGCCACCTAGCAGGTCCACTTTTCATAACACACGTCATTTAGGCACCCATGCTAAAAAAAAATTAACAGTAAAAAATCTGCAATGACGCTTCTTAAGTAAACTTGAATTCAAGCGGGAGCTGCGCTAATTATTTCAATTAAATGAAAAAGCTTACAACGCAAAGCAAATACAAAACAAAAGATTGTGTGAGTAATAAAGCAACGTAATAAAGATATTGCCGGCAAGAATTAAAAAAACAATACTTTAACAAAAAAGTTACAATAAACAACGCACATTAGGATGCCTCACGAAAAAAGTTGCTACTTCCCTATAAATGACAAAATTAGGTAATTTGTTTTATTGAAATCCTCTTCCATTAAAGCTATTAGATAATAGATGAATGTAAACTTCAGAGATAACATTTCTATAAAATCTTTCGCCATATTCAAATAATAACATTTTTGTTGTGATTGTTGGCAGCCTTCAAATGCTGTTTTAATATAAACTTTAATAGCTCAGCCATCTTTGAATCGATTTTACTCTTTAAGGTGCCATAGAAAAATGTATTTCCCTCCACCTTAAGTTTTGTCTCTCTTTGAAACATCTTGTTTATTTTTGATCTGGAAAATGTTTGCGCTCTTTTCTTGAAAGTAAACATACGTTATAGACGAAGACAAAGATAAAGGCACATTTAATAAAGATAATGATAAATATAAGGTTGAGAATAAAAACAAAGAAAAAAGATAAACATAAAAATAAAGAAATGGATAGAGACAAAGATAGAAATATAGAGAGGGATATAGATTAAGAGAAGAAGATAAAGATAAAACTGAAGATTAAGATAAGTTTTCATTTAAAGTTGCCCACCTCGCTTCACCTTAACTCACCTATCTTCAACTCACTTCACTTCAACTCACCATAACTCAACTCACCTGAACTGAACTCAACTCATCTCAGTTCAATTCAATTCAACTCACCTTATCTTAGCTCAGCGGAGCAAATCACAAATAAATTTTATTTATGAAACGATCAGCGAATAAAATCACAAATAAAATTAATTTCGAGATTTCTGAGTTGATCAATTTAAAATTACTCAACCTATGAAAAAAAACGCGATTTATTAGACAGCGCACTCTAATGTGTATAAGCATATATGTAAGTATTCACATGATTTAAGTTAATTGGCAGTAGATGCAAGAGATTGTTTTTTCAGAGTGATTTATTAAGCACTTACTTGCAAATATATATGTTTGTATGTAAGAAAATAATTTCATACACATATTCTAAAAATAATAACTTTTGCAAGCGTACTTTGAGCTGTGCTGGACTGGAGTTTGTAATTTTTCGGTTATATTTTATCTGTGAACATTATATTGAGTGACGAACAATGTAAGTTTGCGAAATAATATTTATATATTTACCTATTTAAGTATGCCTATATGTGTATACATAAATGCATACATATAAGCCCTGTTGCAGAAAACTTTACATGAACGCCCCATTTCCGAATTTGTTTGAATAATGTCCTATCTCAGAATTTGATTGAAGAATGTCCTATCTCAGTTGCCGATTAAAAAAGGCACAATCTTAACACACACATTTTCAATATATTTTCAGACGAGTTAGGACGTTTTTCAACCAAATTCTGAGGTAGGGCGTTATTGAAAAGTTTTCTGAGACGTTTTCGAACCGAGATAGGTCGATATTCCACTCAGCCGTCAGTGCATACTTATCGTAGTACATATTTCAATAACAATTTATTACATATGCATAATTCAATATTCAGTAATTACGACTAATGAACACATTATTCCATTTTTTCTATTTAGCATGGATTCAAATGGCACATTTTCCAGAAATGATGATCAGAACGGTGAGCCTATGGCTAGTTCATCTACTACACCGCCGCAAAATAGCACAACGCGACGCGCGCAACCTTTCGTTATACCAAATGAGGGCACTTATCTAAAACCTGCAGCGAAACAGGCCTACTTCAGTGATGAAAAGGTGCTCATTCCACAAGTAGATGAGGTAAGCATGGAGTCCATTTTTAACCACAACTAGTTTGAATATTTTTTTTCGAAGTGTATATGGGCAATTTCAATTAGTTGGAACTTTCGCATAACTCGCCAGTTTTTATTCGGACACATAATTTTCGCTAGTTTATTAACAAAAATCAGGTTACATATGTTGTGTAGATTATGTAAAGGCAAAAAAAAGGACCTCCGTACATATATTTGTGAAAATTTTCCAATTTTATTTCTGAATTATATGCATATTTGGCTAAATATGCATATAATTCAGAAATAAAATTGGAAAATTTTCACAAATACAAGTAATTTTTAGCAAAAAAAGCCGACTTCAGTTCTCATATAAAAAAAAAATATATATATCACATGATCCACTGATCGGATCTTAACCAGATTAGTATGGGACCACCTATGAGAGACTACCTTTCCGATGCAAAAACAATTACCGAAATTGGTTGACGTGGTCCAAAGTTATGCGTAAACATACATAAAAAAAAAATATTCCGACGACCTGATAACCTCCTTCTTTTTTGGAAGTCGGTTAAATAGAGTAACTCTCCTATCATTTTTATTTTTAGTTTCATGTTGCAAAATTTGGTGCGTTGATTGCTCATGTTTGAGTTCATAATTAACTGGTAGTATTTGGAGAGGAGAATCGAATTTAGCCCGTTAGAAGTATGTGCTTGTAATAGAAAAGAAGTTATGAAGAGTCAAAGTGGCTACTTTTTTTAAATTCTGACACTCGCGGTTTTTATAGTATACTGTAGCTGGTGCGTACCTAAAACTGTTATCGGACAACTTTTATAGTTTTCTGAAGCATAAAAGGAATCAATCTAGATGTGGTAGGCTTATGTGCTCTCATTAGAAGACAGCTAAAAAAAACAACTTCTTGAAAATGCATATTTTTTTTTTTATCAGCACAGCATCTGCAATTGGAAAATTTAGCTAAATAAGCCAGAAATACAATAACGTAGTGGCACTGGCAGCAGAAGTTTTTCGAAATCAGCTGTTTTTTTAGAAAGTGTGGATTCCAATGAAGCGACTCACAATACAGCAGTGACAGCTGGCAGTACTGCTCAGTTTAGCCCAGATTCTAAATTCACTGCCACTGCCTTCATCGCAGCAAACTTCGCATGTTATTCGACATAAATGCAACGCAGCCAACTTCTGTTGATGTCACTGAAGCCTAAAAGACAACAACAAAAATGTAAACAAACAAAAGGGAATGTCAAAAAAAGCAGTCACTGAAAACACCGTATTGTGTTTGCTGCGGCAGTGACTGCCAATATCAGCAGTAACAGCTGATTTTAAAAACTGTCACTGCCACTGCCACTACGCTATTGTATTTTCGGCTATACGTGTGTGCTCCATTGTACAATATACTATTGAACTATGATCCTCGTGCTTCACTGTTTTATTTGTTCTTTTAAAAGTTAATAATAATATAATAATAGATTGGCGCTACATATGTTAGTGTTTGGCCGAGCTTCTCCTCCGATTTGAAGTTGTCACACAAAGCGGAGGGACCTACAGTTTTACGCCGACTCCGAACGGCGATTGTGTTTTTATGAGAAGCTGTTTTCGGAATAAGAAGAGAGAGGCCGAAATACGTGAGTGAGAATAGTTTGAAATGCTGGCCGACAGGAAGACGCCAGAAAGCTTTAGACTTACAGCTCACTAACCCAGGCATAAGAGTATTCGCGCCCCGGCATTAACGTCACTGTGGTCAATTGGCACCCTGAAATTGTGCATATGGAAACTGTGCATACGAAATAATGCATATGAAAAAAACCGAAATAATGCATACGAAAAAAACCGAAATAATGCATATATGCACAGTTTCGGTTGAAAACCGAAATAATGAATATGAAAAAAACCGAAATAATGCATATATGCACAGTTTCGGTTGAAAACCGAAATAATGCATATGAAAAACCCGAAATAATGCATACATGCACACTTTCGTTTGAAAACCGAAATAACGCATATGAGAAAAACGAAGTAATGCATACATGCACAGTTTCGGTTCAAAACCGAAATAATGCATATGACAAAAACCGAAGTAATGCATACATGCACAGTTTCGACTCAAAACCGAAGTAATGCATATGACAAAAACCGAAATAGTGCATACATGAAAACGAACTTCTCTCTGAGTAGGCGGCCTTCGGCCGCGCTTAGGGATTATAACCCTTACTAAGTAGAATTCTCCTTTCTGTGGTGCCGGAAAAGGGGGCCGGAAGTACTTTTGCGTAGAACTTCTTTCTGCGTAGGAGGCCTTCGGCCGCGCTTAGGGATTATAACCCTTACTAAGTAGAACTCTCCTTTCTGTGTTGCCGGAAAAGGGGACCGGAAGTATTTTTGCGCAGAACTTCTTTCTGCGTAGGCGGCCTTCGGCCGCACTTAGGGATTATAACCCTTACTAAGTAGAATTCTCCTTTCTGTGTTGCCGGAAAAGGGGCCGGAAGTATTTTTGCGCAGACCTTCTCTCTGCGTAGGCGGCCTTCGGCCGCGCTTAGGGATTATAACCCTTACTAAGTAGAATTCTCTTTTCTGTGTTGCCGGAAAAGGGGGGCCGGAAGTACTTTTGCGCAGAACTTCTTTCTGCGTAGGCGGCCTTCGGCCGCGCTTAGGGATTATAACCCTTACTAAGTAGAATTCTCCTTTCTGTATTGCCGGAAAAGAAGGGCGGACGTATTTTTGCGCAGAACTTTTCTCTGCGTAGGCGGCTTTCAGCCGCGCTTAGGGATTAAAACCCTTACTAAGTAGAAGTAAATAATTCATATTAGAAAAAAACGAAATTATCCATATGCACACTTTCGCTAGAAAACCGAAATAATGCATATAACAAAAACCGAAATAATGCATGCATGCACAGTTTCGGTTGAAAACCGAAATAATGCATATGAAAAACCCGAAGTAATGCATACATGCACAGTTTCGGTTGAAACCGAAATAATGTCTAAATGCACAGTTTCCATATGCGCAATTTCGGTGCCCCTGGTCAATTATATTTACGAAAAGGTATAAATCTTCGTTTATTTGGGAACCAGTATTAACACCGATAATAATGTCAGCATCGAAATTCAATGCAGAATCACTCTTGCCAACAAATGCTGCTTTGGACTGAGTATGGGATTAAGGAGTAAAGTCCTCTCTCGATGTACGAAAGGCACACTCTATAAGTCACTCATTATGCTCAAACTGGCCCTTGGAGTGTTCGAAAGAAAGATTCTGCAAGAGATTTACGGGCCTTTGCGCGTTGGCGACGGCGAATACCATTGACACTAGAAGGAGCTTTACACTAATATAGACATAGTCTAGCGAATTACCATAGAGCGGCTGTGCTGGCTCGGTCATGTCGTACAAATGGACATAAGCGCTTCAGCTCTGAAAATTTTCAACTCGAACCCGCTGATGATAGTATAGGGAGAAGAAGGGAAGTGACGAAGGACTTGGCAAGTGATTGAGCAGTTGGCTAGCTTTATTGGAATCTGTCAAAATCGCTTAGACAGTTACGAAGAAGAACGAGTTTACTCTGAATGCGGACACTTGAGTACTACTGCCTTTCGATATTAGCTGCGTAGTAGCTAAATAAATTATGAAAATAAAAATGTCTTAATTTTTGTTTACTATTTCTATCCAATAAGTGTTTATTCCGTCCAATGCCATATCGAATATTCGTCAGTGTTTCATTTGTGGTTGGGGAGCCAATATTGTTAAATAGAAACCGCAGAACAATTCGATGATTCTGTCAAGTGATGCTTACATTCGTATACCTACACCCCGTGCCATAATTATAACCACACCATATATTGACAAGTTTTAACAATTTATCTGTTTGTTATTTAATTTTAGTTATTTTTTATTAAAAACATAGTTTATTTTTTAACAAAGACCGAATACATCCAAGTTTCAAACTATGTGTAACATTTAGAAAAATTCAGTAAACTTTTGTAAAAATTGATTGCACTTTATTGTATTAAAATTGAATGGGCTACAAAACTGCATGCTCAGAATCTTTCTGAGAAACCTAATTAAAAAGCTCGACATTTTTACGAAAGTTTGCTGTTTTTTTTTAATATTGCACAAATATTGAAACGTTGATTTATTCGGTCCATGTTAAAGAATAAACTATATTTTTATAAAAAATAACTAAAATCAATAACAAAAAATTAAGTTGTTAAATCTTGTCAATGTGTAGTGCGTTTATAATTATGACACGGGGTGTATTACATGTATGTTTGTTTATACATATATGATACAATGAGGTGCATGTAATTTGTCCGCATGTTAAGTTCAAAAACTTGAACTTGAGAGTGAAAAGCAACGTGTATTGGGAATTGATATCTATGCAAATACATAGTACATACATATACATATGCACATACAATATTGCCAATACCGCACGTGCATTTATTTCTGTAAGTATGTACATTTAAAATTTTTTTATTGGTTGACACAGTTTCCACAAAGTAATTGAGCATATTAAGGGTTTTACGAAAATCTATAGATTTGAAATATCATTTCAGGCTGAATATGACTCACACTACCACGTAGTACGTACTGGCGTAAGATTGTATGCAATTTATATTTAATTGATATTACTGCAATGCAAACAATACCGCCTAAAGATTTTTAT